TTCAAGACTGAGACCTTGCCTGAGTTGAAGAGAGTCCTCCTTGAAGAGAAGTACCCAGAGCTGAAGAGAATAATAATGGAGAAAAAAATATCCCGAGATCAAGAGGCAAGTCCTGGCCAGTAGTACGAGATTGCAAAGGTCATCATGGAGGAACTCAAACAAAATGCCACTCACTTCCGAGAGAACGTAATGGCCAAGGTGGAGACTCTGAAGATAAAGGCCAACGAGAAGTGGACTGAACTGCTGGAGAAGATCACAGAAATCAAACAGAACTGGCCAGAAACCTACAAAAAGATCAAGGCTGACATCGAGGACCTCAAGCTTCAACTTGAGACCAAGCTGTCTGAATACATCACCAAAGTCCTTACGGTTCTCCAAGAGCTCCGTATTCCTGTTGAAATGCTTCCACTGGAACACATCAGGATTTACAGCCCCTGGACATGTGAGTATTTTTGTTCAACTGTAGATGATAGTAACTTAAATTAAACAAACCTTTCTAGAAACCAAAAACATTTTCTACCGTACATAATATATTCAAATTTATATACATGTAGGGTCATACAAGGGAGGAGATAATAAAAAAAATCTGCCTGCTAGGACATTTTTGGCTTTTAATTATTATATATAATGGAGTTTATTTAGGGATAATTTATTTACAAATCTGGAATATGACAAGAAATGAACATGTATCTCTTAGAATATAAAGACTTAGTTTGAGAATATTTACATTATACGATCATGACATTACAATTGGTATTTTTATTTTTGTTCATGTTACAGACACAGCCATGATCTTTGGTGAGAACCATGTCATGACCTTTGATGGCAAGGTGTACAGTGTTCCCGCCTACGCCAACGAACAGCAAACATACGTCCTGGCTCATGACTACGTAGATCGTAACTTCACACTCTTGGTCCAGAAGAAACGCATTACCCTTGTTGTCCGCAACATGAGCGTTGCAATTGATGACGAGAATGTTGTCCATATAATGGATTGCCAACACTGCAGGAACTACCCTACCAGACACGAGTCAGTAAGGAATTGACCATTATGGCCAAGGGGCCATGGGTGAATGTGACATCAACCAAGGGCATGGCTCTCTCCTGCCATGTTGACCAGTTCTTATGCATCTTCCATCTGAGTGGCTGGTACCATGGCAAATCTCGTGGACTCCTGGGCAACCTCGACACAGAGTATCACAACGACTTCATTCTGCCAGAGGGCGGTATTACAACTGATGTTGCAGAGTTCATTTCAGCATATGATGTCTCTCCAATTGACACGCCAAGAAACGTTATTCCATCTCGATTCGGATCCTGTCGATCAACCGTTGAGAAATGCAGAGAGATGTTCCTTGATGAAGACTCAACATTGAATGCCACCTTCCAAGGATATTAACCAGGCTGAGTTCTACAACTTCTGTGTTGAGGAGACCAGGAAGTGCAATCCAATATGTGAAGTCATCAATCCTGTAGCCATTCTTGGCAAGCATCTGCTCCGTACTGTCAGCTACGAACCCGAATGCTGTAAGTTCCGTTGAACGGCAAAAATTGACTTCCACATTTGTTTCATAAGCTCTGAAAAAGTTTGAAAACATACCCCATACATATTCGAATTGCCCTACATGCAGTTATTACTGATGCTATTTTAAACAACCCTTGTCTTTCTACAGATAACCAAGTTTTAACAAAATGTTTTGATTAAATTTACTCTTGAGCAGAGAAATTGAAAGAATAGAAAAATATTCAATTAAACTAAATTGTGTAAAACATATCATTAATTTTCCCATTCCTAACTGCTTTCTTATAGTTGACTGCACTGTTGGGGAAGTCAGCCAGGAGAACGGCAGGTCTACAAGCTCTGCAGATATCATCTTTGTCGTGTCTGAAACTGCTGCAATGGCTGAAGACAATGTGATCAAGTCCAGTATCATGACCATCATTTCCAAAATGAACAAGAAGCTCAATGATGTGAATGGTGTCAGATATGGAATTACTGCTTATGGTGGTTCAGACATCCATGGGCGACCTCATGTTCATACACTATGTGGACATCTGATGGAAAGCAGCGAGGACTGTGCTTCCAGCGGTATTGACAGTTTGGTCTTTGAAGGAGCTAGGCCCGTTGATGCTATGGGGGCTATCCAGCTTGCTGCCAGCTATCCATTCCGCACGGAGGCTGCCAAGATCATCATCCTGATTGCTGATGAAGATTTGATGGTACGTAGGATCTTGCTTGAAATGAACAGATTCATACAAATTAAATTGAAAATATGTGACTGATGCAAGATTAACCTTCTAGAACCATTCCAATAGTGATGAATTAGTTTCCCACACTTATAAAGAAATTACAAAAAAGAAGGTAATAGGAATCTTTCGCATCTGCAAATAATTTCTAAGCAATAGTGGACAATTATTTTCTTTTCTCTTCCTCTAATTGCATGTGTTTAAGCTTTTGTATTGTTGTTGAAACATAATCTATGATTGTTTTTCTTTCCTAACAGGAGGAGAGTACCAACCACTTTGACTACCTACTCAACATCAACAATAGCAGAGTAGCTATTCAGAAACGCCTTGACCGTCAAGGAATCACCTTCAATGTCTTCTCATCCTACCCTACTCTGAACAAGAAGAGTACAGATTCTCCAATCCTGGGTGTCAACTACCTTGGTAAGCAGATCATCAACAAGAGGAACAGTGGTGAAGTGGGTATCGATCGTCTAGCCATTCCTTCAGGACAGTATGCCAAGCTTGCAAAGGCTACACGAGGTGAGTACTTACTAAAAGTTATATGATGATGATGATGAACAGCATTTGTATGGCGCCATATATCTGTTTCAAAAAACATTTATAAGATCAATTTTAATCTACCACATTCTCGTGGCGAATTAATAAAAATTTAACACAAAGTAACTGACTGAAATAGAAATAAACTAGACCGAATAAACATGAGTTTAATTCTCTGGGATTTTAATGTTATTTAGTTGTATTGTACAGATTTGTATAGAGTTGAGATTCACATTTCTTATCTTATTTTAAAGAAATAATTCCTTCTGATATTATTAATTGCTGTTTATCACATTGGCATAAAATGTTATTAATACTAACCAGCAGGGAAAAGTTGTGATGAAAGATTCAATTTTGAGAATTAAATTTAATTTAATAAGAATACATTTGCCCTTGTCCTTTTAGACCTCAAGTCAAAGTCAATACTATTCTTTTCATATTTTCATCCCAGGTTCTGTTATGGGTCTTCGCTGGTTGCAGACTGGACACCGTGACCTGAACACCATGCTACCCAGGATGGTCTATATAAACAGATCCAACCCCAGGCTACTGGCCAGGTTGACTTCATCTGTCGCTGTGTCATTGGCATGTATGGAGAGTCCCGTAATGAATGCCAAATGACCAGCTTTGTTGATGAGGAATATTAAGTTCATATACCTCTACCTAACATTAAAAGGCAACACCACTAATAGTTTTGGATAGAACAATGTAAGGGCTGCATGTTTTTTTTCTCTATTCATAATAGCTTTATTTAAAATGCAAGAAGTTATTTCATACTAAATACAATATTCTAAGGAAACATCACAATATAAAATCATGTTAACATTATATTTTGCTTTCTGTAAACAAAAAAAAAAGATGAAGTTTATTCATGTTCTTTCCTCTCTCGTGAGCCGTTCAAATATCCAAGCTATTTTTCCTGTTTGACAATGCATTTCCCCTGACTACGACTTGTTTAACATTCAGTAAATTATAATGAATAATTTTTTTGTTCTTCAAATCTTGAAACATTCGTTGGAATTTCGTGTTAGTATATTCCTTCAGCATATATTGATTGGTTAACTGAAAGTCTCTGAAAATCTGTTTCTGACTTTTACATTTAACAATGGTCCTTTGACTCCTTTCAATGCGATTAAAAGACATAAAAGTCTTAGAATCTTTTCAATGAAATACATGTAAGACTTTAAACCCTTTAAAAAAGCCAGATCTAAGTAAAGTTCTCAACGTTTTAAATTTTGCTTCAAGTATGAGGCATATGCTCACATGCAAACAAATTTGAGATATGTAATGAACAATGTCTTTAAATGTTTTCTTTTGTTATAACTTGTGTATTTATGTATTTGATGTGAGGTTAAATAAATAACCGAACAAAGAAAACTTTTGTGCTTTTCCTTTCATTTGATATCTTTATAATTATTCACAGGATTGACTGTATAGGCTGTTGAATTCTTTGTCCATCAATGTATCAAAGGGATTCTACTGTTAGCTGGGTAATGTGCCTTATCTATGAAAACTCCCTTCATTCTGTCCCTAATTTTGAATTCAAGAAGTACATGTATTATGTATTTTGAGTTGCCAAAAAGAAAAACATTGTCAATAATTAATTTACAACGAATATGGAAATATAAACATTTAGTTCTGGCAATTATGAATGCTGTTAGTACATGTATTTTTTATGATGTCAGAAATATGTACAACGAATGTGTGAGTGATGTACAGTGTAGTATCAAAATAGTAAACAAAACACAACTGGAAAATTGAAAACCTTTTTTGCAAGGTCTCAAGATAACAGACTTTACCACAAATTTAAGATAAAAATTTGATAATCAATTTGATTGAATTAAATCTTCTACATTTTTAATCATATCGTGAATCAGGTAGCCCTTTGCCAAAATACTTATGGCATTATCAGAGGACAAGTAAAAACTTGATAGTTTAGCAACTGCACCCACAGAGAAGAATTTGTTATGTGAAAGACGAGAACGTGTCAGAATACAAGAGTACCAGGTGTATGAAAGTGAAAGGAGATGTAAACATGAAACCTTGTAAATAAGTTGTGAGAAAGATACTGAAAACGAAATAGAAATTCAAAATAAGAAGAAAAAAGGAAGGTGTGAGAGGGGAGGGGAGGAGAAAATGAGCTAGAGAAGGAAGAGGGGAGGAGAGAAGGAGAGGGGAGCGGAGAGATGATGAGAGCTAAGAGAGGAGAGAAGATGAAGAAGGGAGTGGAGAGAAGAAGGAGAGGAGAGAGTAGAGATGATGAGAGCTAAGAGAAGAGAGGAGAGGACTTGGGAGCTTAGGAGAGGAGAGAAGATGAAGAAGGGAGTGGAGAGAAGGAGAGAAGATAAGGAGAGGAGAGACGATGAAGAAGGAGAGGAGAGCGGAGAGATGAGAGCTAAGAGATGAGAGGAGAGGACTTGAGAGCTTAGGAGAGGAGAGAAGATGAAGAAGGGAGTGGAGAGAAGGAGAGAAGATAAGGAGAGGAGAGACGATGAAGAAGGAGAGGAGAGCGGAGAGATGATGAGAGCTAAGAGAGGAGAGGAGAGGACTTGGGAGCTTAGGAGAGGAGAGAAGATGAAGAAAGGAGAGGAGAGAAGGAGAGGAGGGAAGGAGAGCGGAGCTCAGAACGGGAGATGAGGAAAGGAGAGGATCGAGAGGGAGATGAGAAAAGGAGAGAGGAGAGGAGAAGGAGGTACAGCTAGAGAAGGATGGGGCAAGACCAGGAGCAAAAGACAGCTACGGAATTGGACAATTACATAAAAATACAAAAGGAAGGATATGTAAAAGACAGACAAAAACAGATTTCATTTTGGAATGGCAAAATAAATAACACAACTATCTTTGAAGAAGAAAAAACCCTTGATAAGGTAAATACACTTCCCTTTCATTTTAAACCCCTTTCTTCTTATTTCAAAGCCCGTGGTGTCACTTTATATTGACATGTGTAACACATAGCGAAGTAAAAAATATGGCCACCTATTAAGCATATATTCAATAACAATGCCCTCAAAATATGACCCTTTTTAATATAAAGCATCTACATATGCATACACATCCATGCGAACAATGACCCGTCGTGAAATTTTTGTTCTCTCAGATGTTTTTTTAATCACTTTATTATTGGGTTTGTGGTCATAATGGAATGGACGCAAAACAATAATAAGTGGAAAATTATTTTGAAACGAAAGGAGCACGAAAACTTTAATGGATTATTTTGTTAATAATTCAAGTGCCTAAATCAGTCATAATCTTATGTTGCACCAATTAATTGATTTAGTGGGTTTAGGACTACAATTTCAGTCACCCTATCATAGGAAATAAGTCTATTTTAATACAGATAAACGTTTTGCAAGCGTCTTGAAAAAACCCTTAATAAAACACAAACACATCGAAATTAGACAAATGTTCGATTAACAAGAACAGGATTACCATAAACGTTATTCTTTTGAACCTTAAAGTTCATGAGAAGCCATATGAGATGGTGAGTATATTTCTCAAACGGAATTTTTAAGTGTTGAAGGTCTAACATATAGTATACATTTCAAAGACAAAGCCAGAAATCTAGTTTAAAAAAGGAGAGTGTTGTTAAAGATAAGACCAGTTATGGTCATGCGATTGCATTGTGAAAGAAACGTTGTGGAATCGATCAGAAAAGGTTGCCCATCTAACATATACGTATTGGTGTGTACTGCAAGGTTCTGGAATCATCAAAATGATAAGAAATTTGGCCCAGTCTTGATAAAGTTACAAGCACTGTACACATGAAGATGTATATGGGACTATCCCCACATGCGCGTGACACGTGCGTTATATCTATCAGGGTCCAAATATATATAATAATTTACCAAATATATCAATTAGTAGGTGGTTTCTCAGCAAAATTTGTATGATCACGTATTAGTCAAAACATATTCTTTCACATGATTGGTAATAAGAGCTTCCATTTCATTTTTGAGAGGGGGCGTTTCCAAAACTGGTCTTTACCTTTAAACTATTGATATCAACTACCTTCGAAAAATCAACCTAAGGAAATTTCAATAGCCTTGTGCGTCACTTATTGCAATGTCGAACACGACAATGAAGTATTACGTAATCAAAACAGGACATTTCGGTCTTGAAAATGCCCTTGAGTTGATTTTTCGAAATAGTTGCGATCGTGTTAACTTCTAAATGCAGTGGAATATGAACAATTAACACTAGTTGTTAAATTCAACTGAAATGTACATTTATTTATATTCATTGAATATATCATTTGATTCCACATATGTAGTGTAAGGAAATTGACTGCAATCCATATCAAAGCATACAAAAATCCACTCAGTTTAGAAATATAAAAACGATATTTTCGGAGTTAAGTTTTATCTCAAAACTCTAAATTTGGATGATAGTGATCTTGACAATCATTTGAAATTCTTTCTTAAGTGAAATATGATATATACTGTCCCGTTTTAACGAAGACTTTTATTTTGTGAAGATTTGCATGGTTCTATTGTTTAGACAGCCCCCGCTAAGAATAGCTGATAATAGACACAAATGGAGGGCCATGCCCGCCGATTTCAGTAACAAACCTGGCACTGGATGACGATGATAATGATGATGATTATGATGATGGTGATGATTATGATGATGGTGATGATTATGATAATGGTGATGATAATGATGATGGTAATGATGATGATAATGATGATGATAATGATGATGATAATGATGATGATAATGATGATGATAATCTTGATGATGATAATGATGATGATAATCATGATGATGATGATGATGATGGTGATGATGATGATGATAATGATGGTGATGATTATGATGATGATGATGGTGATGATGATTATGATGATAATGATGATGTTTATGATGATGGTGATGATTATGATGGTGATGATTATGATGATGATTATGATGGTGATGATGATGATTATGATGATAATGATGATGATTATGATGGTGATGATTTTGATGATGCTGATTATAATGATAATGCTGATGATTATGATGATGATGGTGATGATGATGATTCTTGTATTTCCTAGGATTAATGAGACTAGAACCTATAACACTGTAATACAACTTATTATTACAACCTATGGATTATTGCAACACTGTTAAAAATCACATGTTATTCAATCATGGTAAATAATACAAGCTGGCCCACTTGAAAGACACCTTTTAAAGATAACCTCTGTTGATATTATTGGAAAATTTGACTAGAATGTCATTTACGCAATGATTGTGAAATGTTTAGACTTATCTTATTCTTCCCTGAACTTTCATTTCAAAGTGGACTAGAAATAAGGACACCGGACACGTTTAATGTTCATTGTTTTGGCTTATCTATTGAAAGAAACAGAGGGAAAACAGAGTCATGTTTAATTGATGATCAATGTCAAGCGTTACATTCGAAGAGTTTGCAAGGCTTATAGTGAACAGTAAGATCTTAAAAGGTGGGGAGAGGCGATCTAATCTCTATGCAACCATTTAACTTTTCGAAACATCATCCATTTATTTTAGATCAAGGATATCTCAACCTCCAGTCATGTCACAACAACTGGAAACAAATGAAGAGCAAACGAACTTTGACTTTAGAAGGCCTACATTTTTCAGGTTATGATGACAGGAAGGTAATTGTTTAGTCATTACTTATTGTAAACCATGACCCAGTTCATGATTATCAAACAAGTTTGATAACCCCCACATTAAAAGTGGGTCTTTATGAGAGATAGTTAGATGGAGAGAATGGACGAGAGAGAGAGAGAGAGAGAGAGATAGAGAGAGAGGGAGGGAGAGGAGATGGGTAAAAGGGAGCTAGCTTTAAGTGTGCCAAAGATCATATATGTGAATGACCATATTCCCCACAATCATTATCAAAGAACAATCACAAAGTACCGTGTCTCGGTGATTTAATTAGAGTGTATTTAAAGTGCAATGATTACTATAGATATCGAATATACATTGTTTCTCTAATCTCTTGATAGACTAAAAGGGCAAAAGTAACATGTGCTATTTGTTTAATAATAACCCCGTGATTTTACTTGAAGATTGGGACCCGATGCTACGATAAGTTAGTTTGAATTGTGATGAGATATAACGCACAAAGTACAATTATGAATTGTTGAAGGGCGTCTGTGTTCAGCCAATCAGGCCAAGGCTCCTCCTACCCCATGCCTTCTAAGATAAGTTTCAACCAATGAAGTGCGTTGATTGGGAGCATGCGCGGTAACCATCCCTACAATGAAGCTGTTATCATCCTGGTATATAAGACAGGGTAAATGATACGAGTTGTTTTACTAACCATTTTTCTAAGTCTCTACTAGTGGATGTACTACCTTCATCATGAGGGCTGTTAGTTTTCTACTAGTTAGCCTTCTTCT